GACTCAAGTGTTGTAATAATTGTGATTGCATTTTGTGATGTGTCTGTGTGTGTGTGTGTGATTTATATATTGAATGTGTATATATATATATATGTATATATAAAATACACACACACACACATATATAGTGTGTATATATATTTTCTTATACACACACACACACATATATAGTGTGTATATATATTTTCTTACTTTTTTTTTTTTTTTTTTTTTTTTTTTTCTTTTTTTTTTTTTTTTTTTTTGCAGATCCAGTCAGTGACGTTATTGTATCATTGTTCGATCTGCAAATTATGATCTTACAACCGATCAGCAATTATACATAAAATGCATATATCTGCCCAGCCGATCACATCTGTGTAAAGTCTTGAGAAAACCCTTGAAGAGAACATGCAAACTCCACACAGGAAAGGCCACAGCCCGGATTCAAACCCCCAACCTCAGAACTGTCAAGAAGATGTGCTAATCACTTCCTCGCTTATGCTGCCCAAACAATTTTTTGGGACATTTTAAAATCAAACTGCACTATGCTTGTTTACGTCGTTGAAGTTAGGCTTGTTCCACTCCCTGTCCCTTCAATAATATGGTGTATCTGTACCAAAGAAGTAGATCCGAATCCAAATACATGTATTCCTCCCCCCAACAATAACCGCGACGTGTTTTATCTTGATCCTTTCTGGCTAAATACTCATCGTCTGACAAAAGTTTGTGCTGTCATCCACTTGAAAGTAGACCTTCTCACCTCGCTGAAATGGGAAAGCAATAAATCCTCACTTCCATCCTTTTCCTTTTTGTGTCTGTCCCGACAGCTCTTTGATGGGATCGAGTGCGAGTTTCCCATATTCTTCATCTTCATGATGATTGACGGTAAGCCTCCTCACATCCACACCTTGACCGGCTCCCAGGGTGCCTGGAGCTTGAGCCGAATGACGTTTTTTTTAATGCTGGAATTTAGAGGAATTAAGGTGTGAAATTTCGTGAATGGCCTTTAAACAAATTGAAAAAGTTCTCAAGAGAAATGCCATTTCAAAGACCTGTATTCCCTTTCTTCATTGCACTGGCATTTAGTTTTATTGGAGCTGATAAATAATCTTAATATTTCGATGCTGATGTTTTTTTTTTCTTGTTGGTAGAAAAAGCAAAACATCCACTCAAATCCCAATATTCTTGTGTGTGTGTGTGTGTGTGTGTGTGTGTGTGTGTGTGTGTGTGTGTGTGTGTGTGTGTGTGTGTGTGTGTGTGTGTGTTTGTTTGTTGCAGGTGTGTTCAGGGGGAACCAGGCTCAGGTGAAAGAGTACCAGGACCTTCTTGACCCGATCATCTTTCAGTCTTATGAGGGCAAGTATTCACGCGGCAATTATTGAGTGGTAAAATCCTTTTCCTAGAACTGACGACTCAGTGATTGGTTTGTCACTCTAGGCCACGCTGTAGTCCCCAAGTACTACTACGTGCCCGCAGACTTTGTGGAGGCCGAGCAAAGCAAGCATGGCAGTCAGAAGCGCTTCCCGAGCAATTCTGGACGCGACGGCAAGCTCTTTCTGTGGGGCCAAGCCCTTTACAACATTGCCAAACTGCTAGGTAAGATACAGTAAATATAGTTGATGGATGGCTAGATGTCATAAGATCCGCTGAAATTGATTGCTGATGCACATTTTTTTTCCAATGCTTTAGTGTTAGTTTTAGTTTTTCGCTAGGCTTTAAATTTTGTCGGGGAAACTGATGCAGTGGTGATAACTGTACAATAGAATAAGATAATGTATATATAATTGATTTTTAAATTTATTTATTGATGTCATTTGTTTGCGTGTCGATGACCTTGTGTCCCAGTTGACGAACTGATCAGCCCCAAGGACATTGACCCCATCCATCGCTACGTACCTCGCCAGGACCAACGCAATGTCAGCATGCGCTACTCCAACCAGGTCAGGTCTCAATGCTTCCATTGTCTGACAAAATATATATATTCCAATTTAGCTTAGCGCTATCTTGTTGGTGTGACAGAACACAAATGGATTTAAAATGTGACCAAATGAGAATAAACATATTGGGTTCTGCTGTTGGCCGGTGAAAGGCAAGGGATGCTGGAGGTTAAAGTAAGTTATTTTCAACAAAAAAGGAAAACCTATCCGAAGGTGGACGTGGCTGCGTTGGCGTGTCGGTGCACTCCATTTACAATTTACCATTATGATCACATTTCAGTTTTCATTTTTTAGACAATACAATACAATACATGCTGATTTATATAGCGACTATGACATGTTTTTGGCAAAAGAACAATAATGCATTCATTCAAATTGATTTGTGACGACAAAGGGTAAAAAAAATAGCGAATGCGAGTATGAGCTCTCACATTTATATGGGTGAAATTTGCTTATTTTGGGGTCCCGGGTGGCAGGTGCTACACCTAAGATTTGACTCAGTAGATCACAGATCAACATGAAATTTGATGTGCATTTTCTTCAAGACATCACACATGAGAAATAATAATGTACACACGGATATTTTTGCAGTTTTCGTTTTGACCGTAGCGACAAACTCACCTTTTTAAAGGCCTTCAAAATGCTCAGAAATTCACCAAAATTTGCCACTGCATATGTCTTAGTGACAGTCTGGTGTAAAGGTCCCAGATGTTACCCCAAATAATTAACTCGCTTGAACCCTCTGGTAAGTGCTCGCAGATCGTTATGAAATTCAGAAGACTCATTTAGAATGACAGGATGCACGGAAGAGTGTGAAGATATTTTTGTGTGTGTTTGTGTGTGTGTGTGTGTGTGTGTGTGTGTGTGTGTGTGTGTGTGTGTGTGTGTGTGTGTGTGTGTGTGTTTGTTTGTTGCAGGTGTGTTCAGGGGGAACCAGGCTCAGGTGAAAGAGTACCAGGACCTTCTTGACCCGATCATCTTTCAGTCTTATGAGGGCAAGTATTCACGCGGCAATTATTGAGTGGTAAAATCCTTTTCCTAGAACTGACGACTCAGTGATTGGTTTGTCACTCTAGGCCACGCTGTAGTCCCCAAGTACTACTACGTGCCCGCAGACTTTGTGGAGGCCGAGCAAAGCAAGCATGGCAGTCAGAAGCGCTTCCCGAGCAATTCTGGACGCGACGGCAAGCTCTTTCTGTGGGGCCAAGCCCTTTACAACATTGCCAAACTGCTAGGTAAGATACAGTAAATATAGTTGATGGATGGCTAGATGTCATAAGATCCGCTGAAATTGATTGCTGATGCACATTTTTTTTCCAATGCTTTAGTGTTAGTTTTAGTTTTTCGCTAGGCTTTAAATTTTGTCGGGGAAACTGATGCAGTGGTGATAACTGTACAATAGAATAAGATAATGTATATATAATTGATTTTTAAATTTATTTATTGATGTCATTTGTTTGCGTGTCGATGACCTTGTGTCCCAGTTGACGAACTGATCAGCCCCAAGGACATTGACCCCATCCATCGCTACGTACCTCGCCAGGACCAACGCAATGTCAGCATGCGCTACTCCAACCAGGTCAGGTCTCAATGCTTCCATTGTCTGACAAAATATATATATTCCAATTTAGCTTAGCGCTATCTTGTTGGTGTGACAGAACACAAATGGATTTAAAATGTGACCAAATGAGAATAAACATATTGGGTTCTGCTGTTGGCCGGTGAAAGGCAAGGGATGCTGGAGGTTAAAGTAAGTTATTTTCAACAAAAAAGGAAAACCTATCCGAAGGTGGACGTGGCTGCGTTGGCGTGTCGGTGCACTCCATTTACAATTTACCATTATGATCACATTTCAGTTTTCATTTTTTAGACAATACAATACAATACATGCTGATTTATATAGCGACTATGACATGTTTTTGGCAAAAGAACAATAATGCATTCATTCAAATTGATTTGTGACGACAAAGGGTAAAAAAAATAGCGAATGCGAGTATGAGCTCTCACATTTATATGGGTGAAATTTGCTTATTTTGGGGTCCCGGGTGGCAGGTGCTACACCTAAGATTTGACTCAGTAGATCACAGATCAACATGAAATTTGATGTGCATTTTCTTCAAGACATCACACATGAGAAATAATAATGTACACACGGATATTTTTGCAGTTTTCGTTTTGACCGTAGCGACAAACTCACCTTTTTAAAGGCCTTCAAAATGCTCAGAAATTCACCAAAATTTGCCACTGCATATGTCTTAGTGACAGTCTGGTGTAAAGGTCCCAGATGTTACCCCAAATAATTAACTCGCTTGAACCCTCTGGTAAGTGCTCGCAGATCGTTATGAAATTCAGAAGACTCATTTAGAATGACAGGATGCACGGAAGAGTGTGAAGAACTCATACATGCAAATGAACAGGAAGCTGTCTATTTTGTAAGAAGCCTCCATTTTAGGATGTTTTGTTAATTTCCACCAAATGTCTGTCGAAAATGTCGTACTGTGAGTTCAAAGGGAGGTAATGGATGTGTTTCAGGGCCGCCACAACATTCATATTACCCAGTAGGTGTCACTACGTCTTGTTATATAACACGGCGGATGCGTCAGCACTCGAGATGATTGTGTGCATGTGCGCGTGTAGCTCACTGTGATGCGTTCCAGTCCATTTAGCTAGAGGAGCATCGATGCATTTCACGGAGTGGCGCATAAAAAGGCCGCTGTGAGTAAATGAAGCAATCACACGTGACGGCGTAGTCGTCTTCATTTGTCCGTACGCCGCCACGTCCTGTAAATAAAATGTTCAGAACGCTGCCACGTTGCATCACATTAATGGCATATAAAATGGCATATAAGCCATTGAAAGTAATAGCGCTGTAAAACTAGTGATAGTTCTTCCTCGCCAGTGATGATTACCAATTGACTTGGACGGCCAATTTCATTTTGAGATATCATAAAACGCTTTTTTTCTCCATTTGTGGCCTCCCCTGTAATACACCCCACACTCCAAAAAAGATTCCTCCTTTTTATTAATCCCTTAGGAATAAAATATGGTGCCTTTTCCCACATTTAGTGTTATATATTCTGGACTCTACATTTGATTTATGATTGTTTTGTTTTTTTGTTTTTAATAATTCGTCGAAACTAATGTTGTGTCCTTCAAACAAATCATTGTTTAAAACAAAGGTCTACAGAGCTAGATGTGACATCTGTAAAGCTGATCATTATCGTGGAGTTTTAAGACAAATTGGCAAAAATAAGAAAAAGCGCATTACTCTCTTGCCCTCACTCCGTATATTGTGTTTAAATGTGTATTCATTGTTTAAAAAAAAAAAAAAAAAAAATCGAAGTACCATAAATGTTATAAAAACATGCCCAAGATGTATTACATTTTTTGTGTTGGTGGGGGAGTGGGGGGGGGGGGAATCTGGAACGTAACCCCCACCGTGGCGCGGTGTCTGTATTTCAATCACACACACACACACAAATAAAATAAACAAACAAAAAAAAAACGCATTACAAAGAGCCTATTCCACCTGCTCAGCACTTATTAATGTATACACATTTAACTGTGATGTAAAACAGTCAAATGTTATGCCTGTAATTAATATTTAATTTATTGCTGTCATTGTTAAGGGACCAAAAAAGAAGTCATGATATATATTTTAATCAATTATTAAATTGTTCTGAAAAATATCTGAAAAATTGGCATCCGCCTGAAAAAATGCGTACCGGCCTGACTGTCAGTGCATCGCCGTATTAAAGCAAAATGATGCTGTGTATTCGCAAAATGTTAGCAACATGTAAAACGGGGGGAAAAAAATATGGTACATTATGTCATGTCTGACTTATTCATGTGTTGCATCCACACGCTGTTAGTAATGCCAGACGCACATCACGTCATTTGGCATTCATGGGGGCACCTGCTGCGTTTGTTTGTGTGCACCATGATAGATTTTTGCTTCTTTTCTGTCACGCACCTGAGACTGCCTGCAATGTCGTCATGGTTACTGCCCAACCATTGCATTGATGCGGGATGGGGGGGGTAGCGAAAACGCCTCGATGGGGAGAAAATATTTCAACCTGCTGTACTTCATCCTTGCATCACTACCCTCCAGCATGCAGGTGCATCTTGGTAGAGGATTATGGCATGTACATGTTTGCTCGGTACTGTGGTGCCGTCACGCACGTACAGTGAAATCTTTATGTCAAAGTCGGGTTTCAAGTTTGGGTGAGGGTTTTAAAAAAGGCTTGGCGTTTCAAGATTTTGAGTCTATTCTGTATAACTGGGGTTTAAAGGCAGTTCCAAGTTGAGACTTGATAATTGTATCGTACTAATCTGGCCTCTTATCGTTTTGTTTCACCGCAGGATATTGTAGGAATATGTCTTAGAATGCATGGATATTTCCTACATGGTGTACGGTGCCCCTTTAAGCTTCTCAAGGTCGGTATAATATTCCCCCTCCGTCTTTTACCAACTCTACAGCTCCACAATATCATCCTACAACCCCTTGAACCCATCCTTGCGCCCCCTCCCGCCGTCCCACCGTCCAGGCCTTATCATTTCTTTGATGTTAAACCTGTGACACGTTCAAATGCCCTCATCAAAAATACGAATCTGTGTGCACCGGCACGCAGCCGCCGGCGGCATGAAAGGAAGGGGATTATATTCATTTCACATGGAGACGGAGAGCGCGGGTGCGGGAGATGGGAGGAATGAGGCGGCTTTCTCCCGCTTCGACTTTGTGCGACAAGTCTTTTTTATTCCTTTGTGATGCCACATTCGCAGACTGGGAGGCAACGTGACCTTGGAAGAGAGACACGAGCGCTCAATGCAAACTTTTCTGTTTCAAATCATTCGATGATTGAAGATTTCTGCCAATCAATTGGGCTGTGTGGCAGGCTGTCGACGAACACCACACGACAGGAAATCAAAACAAAACAAAAAAAAGAAAAGAAGGTATGACATGAAAATAAGTGAAGCAGTAGCAGCGTGATATCTGCTAACATAAGATTTATATGAGCTTCACTAATCAGTGAGTGGTTGAAAATATATATACTGCAATATAAAAATAAGTGGAAAATATACTTCATTATGGTTATAAGAGGTAACACATTAAACAAACTAAGCGGGGGGGGGAGGACACCAGCTGTACTATTGAAAAAGTATCCTTCCAAAAGAACATAAAGTTATTCACATTTTATTTTTAAAACCTTTTTTTTTTTTGTCTGAAACATAACTAGAGTCAGACTCGAAAGGTTTGTAAAAAGAGTCGTTCGTATGAGGGAATTAAACAGAAGTTCGGGTTTCAACCTATGCTTTGGCTTCCAAAGAAACATTCGCGTTTCATTTTATGAACTAAAACAAGAGTTTGAGTTTTAAATTGGGCTTTCAAATTGGGTTTTATTTTTTTCAGGTTCACAGATTTTTGAGGGGATCACTTTCTCTCAATTTTTGACTATTTTTAATTTTTAAAAAACATTTTTTTTCATTGAGTACACTTTTTAAATTTTCATGTCATTTCTGACATGAGTTGTATTTTAAACTTTTTTTTCAGTTTTTTCTTACCTTTTTTGACAATTGTTTTTTAGATATTGAACTACTTCTAACAGTTTTTTACACTTATTTTTATGATTTTTTTTGACAGTTGCCACTGATTATTTTGGCCACTTGTCAGTATGAAAAAACATCCTTGAAAACAACAATCAATCAATAGAAAAGTCAGAAAAAAAGTAGAAGGACTGATGTTGTTCTCGCTTTTGGGGCTCAGGTGCCTCGGCAGTCCACACTCTGGCAAAATCCCTTGTTTGTTTTCACAGATTTACCGCTGGCCACAGATTGATTGTCAACAAGGGGAAGGCGAACAAAGCACCAGAAGCAGAATGGTTCTTTTCCTTTTTTTTTTTTTGCCCTACCTCTAGGGGAGAAGAGAGAGCTCGGCGTAACGAAATGAGGAAGGGCAGAAAGTTAAGGTTAAAAAGAAGAATGGGAGTGGATAAGAAGAGAAGGGGAAAAAATGGTGGAAGGTGCACAAAACGAGATAATTAGGACCAAATTCAAGGGAGCGAAAAACAAGGACGGGTAGAAGGCAACCAGAAAGCTATGAAATAAATTATAAAGTAAAGAAGGACTTTTCTTGTTGTCATGAGTTTGTTAAAATTGGAATTTTGCTGGTAGAAAACGGTTGACTCCAGGTAGTGTCCCCTGAGGGACGGATTTATGGCTTCGTTGTCAACATTAATTGTTATTGTCAATTTTTTGATGATCGGACCTCTCGCCGACACTAACGTCTGATTGTGTGAATGTGTAGACTTGTTCTACTGTCTTGGTTATGGTCTCAAAGTTGGGAGCCAGGTTCAGGGTTTGAAGTCAAGGTTTCAAACCTGAGTGAGGTTTGGAAAACTAGCGTTTAGGTTTTGAATTAAGGTTTCAAACCTGGGTTGATGTTTTAGGGCACAGGTGTCAAAGCCAAGGCCCGGGGGCCAGATCCGGTCCCCCACATCATTTTATGTGGTCCGCCGAAGCAATTCATGTCTCAACTTCCATGATCCTTGCTGAAGTCTGGACCGAAATGTCAAATTGTTATTGTGTGATAAATAACGTTGAAATTTTGCAATCATCTTGTTCCCCTGTCTACGCTCACTTGAACAATAATCGAACAAACTACGAACAAATAGCTGCTTTGAAGACGCGTCACAAGGAAGCAGTGACAGGTTCGACGAAGGTTGAACTGACAGCCGAAACTGTCAGCTCGGTAAGACTTTTCCTCTTCACCGAAAGAGACCATTGTCTGGAAAAAAAGAAACTTTCTACCTAATTGAACAAACAGATAGTTGAGTTGAGTGATTACAAAACTAGTCATCCATCAATTGGTTTGTGTACAAGTAATAATATGATGAGATGATTCCGTAAACATTTTTTCGGTTTCACAGTTGTAACGACCCCCCGAGGGAAGACGTAACTCCAAAGTGGCCCACGACAAAAATTTGTTTGACACCCTTGTTTTAAGGTTTCAAAACCTGGTTTGGTTTTAGCCCGGGTCGATGTTCGGGTTTCAGTGTTGGTGCGCTGCTGAAAATTACTTACTGTGTCCAGGGGTAAAGCTTGCATGTGAAATGTGTTGCTTGTGGGAAAGTGTCAGCAGTGCCACGCTGAGTACCGCGATTTATTTTTCATGACTGCTGGCTCAACCTCCTCCTGCAGCTCGCAGCCGACTTTGTCTGCTTCCACTCTGCTTTTCCACCGCATCAAGCCGTTGACCGTGTAGCACTCCTTCAATGAGTTGCTGAAGTGACTTTTTGGAAAGAATGCGCATGAAATATACAGCAGGTGAATAATGCAAGTTCCAGGAGCGACAATCTGACTTCTTTTGTGTGAGCCGGCGCTCACCTACTTTCTCCCTAGCGACCAAACAACTTTTCGTATCATTTCATACTAAAAAAGAAAAAGACACAACATCGTGACGGTTTAGCGATGAAAGGCTCATTTTGATGCCTTCAGAGGATGCAGGGCAGCGTTGCAACGCAGAAAAGACTGTCTTACTGCATCATCCGCAGTTGCTGGTTCAGGATTTACATCTCATTTCAATTCCGCGAGCACGGAGGATGCGCTATGCCTCCATCCACTGTCAGTTGATGTCGAATTGCGCTAGATTCTTATTTCAGCTCACATCACTTCATCTCCCGCAGTGTCAGTCGACCTCCGTCAAATCAGTGCACTTTTTTGTGCACTTTTGTTGGCTTTGAGCCCGGATGAACAGCAAATGAACACTTTATCCTCATAAGGGTCGCGGGGGGTGCTGGAGCCTATCCCAGCCGTCTTCGGGTAGCAGGCGGGGGACACCCTGAACCGGTTGCCAGCCAATAAATAGCAGGGCACACAGAGATGAACAACTATCGGGGCTCACACTCACACAGAGACAATTTAGAGACTCAGCCTGCCGTGAATGTTTTTGAAATGTGGGAGGAAATCGGAGTACCCGGAGAAAACCCACACAGGCCCGGGGAGAACATGCAAACTCCACACAGGAAGGCCGGAGCCGCGATCGAACCCACGACTGCTGCACTGTGAGGTCGACGTGCTAACCACTGGACCACCGGGCCGCCCTACTTATCTTTCTGCCTTTCTACCGAATCTTCCTACTTTCTTCCGGCCTAAACTACAAAATACCTAGCTGTCAATGATCAATGGAGAAGCTGCTGATTCATTTAATGTTGACATGAACCTCACATTTTGTGTGTGTGTGTGTGTGTGTGTGTCTCTCACAGGGCCCCATAGAGAATGATGTTGTGGTCCATGTTTCACTGATAGCTGAGAGCCAGAGGTACATTGTGCAGTTGACTTTTCCTCCGTCGTCCTGTTCGTTGTCGCGATTGTACATTTGTGATCACACTCTGTGGAGTTTAAGTGCTACAGTCGAGGAACAAAGTACACAAACAATTTTAAGTGAGGATGTTATGGAAGAAGAAATATGTTACATATCCTTTTTTTTTTTTTTTTTTTTTTTTTTTTTTTTTTAATATTTGTGCTTAGACTGCAAGTGTTTCTGAACACGTACGGTATTCAGACGCAGACACCGCAGCAGGTGGAACCCATCCAAATCTGGCCTCAAAAGGAGTTGGTCAAGGTAATGCATTCTCTCACACACACACACACACACACACACACACACACACACACACACACACACACACACACACACACACACACACACACACCGACTTATTGCTGAAAGCAGCGGATTTGAGAGATAACGACATCAGATTTCATGGAATCTTTGCATCAAACTTGAGAATTCAGCCTGAGCGACATGGAATTTGCTCGGCTTTTTGTCATGACTAGAGCCATTAAAAGTTTGCAAGGACCTTAAAGTCGACAAGGTCACATCTTGACCAAACGTCTCGTGTATGATCACGTTTTTGCTTACTGAGGGACAAAAAGCCGACAGCCTGTCATTTTTGAGTTATGCAAAGTAAATGGCCTATTAATCATCGTTTGATTAAAAGTTAAATTTGCGTTGGGTTGTTATGAGTGGGTTTCATTCACTTCTAAACAAGTCGTGGAGTCGTAAACATTGTGTACGTGATTGCCTTCTGCGATCAAGTGGCACGAGCAAGTTAACATTGCTAAGCTACATCCCCTTTGCTTTGTGTTTACGGTAATTGCAAGAGTTCTCCCCCCCCCAAAAAAAAAATAGCATCGACACCGCCACAGAGCTAATCAATGTTGCAATCAGTCAGATTGCATGTCAGCAGCCATTTCCTCATCTTGATTGTCACATTCATCAAAGACATGCTGTCAGCTCCATGCCATTGATCCTCTCAGCGCTGCCGTACTTAGCCACGATTGATCAACATAATGGCCCAGATCAACCGCCGTCATTTTCCTCGAAAGAAAGTCGTACTTGGATGCTCTACCAGAAACACATCTTACGTAAAAATAGGATATGTGAGCCCGGCAACACTCCAGCGCAGACAACAAACATGCACATTTGCACACCTGCAACCTTTCAACTCACAGCGCACATGGCTGAGAAGTCGTTGTTTATCATACGATCCGCGGTCAGGGTTTCATGAAATGAAATGCACACATGCAGGACCTTGCCCAACACACTTACAATGCAAGCGGGAACAAATAAAAAGTAAAAAGCAACATCTTACTTAACTTAATTTACGAGCTATTGCCTGTTTCTTTGCTTTTGTGAACAATGATGTCATATCATCTCATGTATCGTAGAAAGGGTTCTGTCAGTCGTCATCTGTACCTGTGGGTAAAAAACAAAAAAAAAAAAAACAAAAAAAACGCAGGGTTGTCTACCGCTGACGAAGCTTCTGTGAGAGAAGCGAAACGTCCTTTTTTGCGTTTTTTTTTTTTTTTTTTTTTTTTTTTTTTTTTTTTTTTTTTTTTTTTTTTTTTTGGTTTTTTACCCACAGGTACAGATGACGACTGACAGAACCCTTTCTACGATGGAACTTTCCTGTACGACTGAGAGCCTCCACAAGCATCATCTCATGTAGCGATCTGCTAGCTAACAGCCAATCAGAATGTTTAATTGTCACCCACAGTCGATGTTTTCCCTGCCGCTCCCATCCACCACTTTGTTACCGATGTTTGCTGTGTGTGTGTGTGTGTGTGTGTGTGTGTGTGTGTGTGTGTGTGTGTGTGTGTGTGTGTGTGTGTGTGTGTGTTATTGTTGCAGTATTGGCTTGGTATGAAGAAGGCTGCATTTGGATGTATCTTTTAGGGCGTATGATCAATAATCACTTGAAGTCCTTCTTAGGAGGCAAAGCGTTCAGAGATCATTCGGCAGAAAGTGAAATTCATGATCCAGCGATGATGATGATGCTGATGAAGAAAAGCATTTCGAGAAAACTGCGGCGGCCGTCGTTGCCACTTTGTCACATATCTTCTGCATCCTTCAACGCCTTTTAGTGCGAAATTCACTCTGCGCGTTGTTTACCGCCCGGGGGTCAGAGCGGGAATCGCGGAGCAAGCGGCGGGATTTAGTACAGACTACAAATTAAAAGAGCACTTTGTAGAGTGGATAACTGTAAAGACACTTTTCGATTTTCTGCCTGCCGCTTAATGGACTTTTCCTGAGCTTCAGCCTGCCCGCTTGTGTAATCCTTCAGAGCGCTTGAAAGCCGACCGTGCAAGCACACTGTGCGCCTGGGTGGAGCATACTGTGATTCATACAGTGGAACACACAGGAGAACATAGCGTAGAGCATTCTGCGTAGCCTACCTTACCTTGACGTGAACTTTTTTTGCTCACCGGCCTCTGCGGCGACTCGTCTCCCAGAGTTACTCAGGCATTCGGAATTTTTCACTCGTCAATACGAAGTTGTTGGGTGATTATTATTATTATTTTAATATGATTAGAGATGACTCTGGCATGGATGCTAATGTATCCTCGTTCTAGATTTACAACCTTTTCAAACATAAAAGAACCCTGTGCACACCCAATTTTTGACTGCAGAAATGTTTCACGCTACATACAGGTCATCAAGTATTCAACTTTGATCAAGTTGTCTGCAAGGTTTTGCTCCTTTTATAGGAAAATACGCGGCTATAATAAGGCATCTTCAGTTATGTAGCCCATTTAATACATGAGACAACTCAATGTGCTTCACACAAGCAAGGAAACACTCGTGATGTCATGCACTCATGTGCATTAAAATCCGTGCAGACCAGCTGCCTCATTGGCATTCTACACATGGGAGCCGAGTCGGGTGCATCTGTGTGTGTGTGTGTGTGTGTGTGTGTGTGTGTGTGTGTGTGTGTGTGTGTGTGTGTGTGTGTGCGTGCGGGTGTGTGTTTGTG